ATTTTTGAAGTTGTTGTGGGAGGCAGCAATTTCTGGTGTTTACCTATGCCACCATCTTGGTTTCTCTCTCCTTTCTTTTTTTGTAAGAGAACATTTATTTGGTAAATCACAGTAGTAGAAAAAGTAATCCCTAGAAGAAATGGGCTTAGACAACAAATTATAAAGGTAAAGAAAGGGTCCTTGGAGCTTGAGAGTGAGGAAGCTAAGGGTAACATGCCTAAACGAGAGGGAGGGAGGGAGGGAGAGAGGGAGGGGAGGGGAAAGGGAAAGGCATGGGAGGGAGAGTCCCCTGAGGTATTTTCTTGTTAACTGGCTTATTTCATTCTTGGGATGGAGTTAATTTAAAAGATCTCTATATTATGATGGGCTTTTATCTTCAGTAGTCCTTATACAAAAGTAAAGATTAGACTTCTCTAGAAACAAAATAAAACACTCATAATCTATTTTTTAAATTACCAGGGGGGCCACTTTTGCCTGAGATCCCATTTGCCCAATTTTTCAGAAGGTGAAATTAAGCATCTTCTCATTACTAACCTGGTTTGGGAAGCAAACGAAATTAAATCCACCTCCAAATAAAGCCATATCCATTTTTCCAAGTTTATAGCTCCCTTTTCCCACCCCTGCTTTGACTTCAGGAGAAACACAGGCACGCCTTAGCATGTGAAGGAGATTGGCAAAGGAGAGTTTAAGGATAAGCTTTAGTGGAGATGCTCAGTAAACATTTGGATGGCTAACGAGGAGTACAGTGTGGGCAATCCAGTGATCGGAACTCCAGGTTTGAGTTTCCGAATCCAGTAGTAGGGGGCAGGTAGGAGGCAGCCAATCAATGTTCTATCTCACTGATGTTTCTATCTCTCTCTCCCTCTCCCTTCTCTGAAATCAATAAAAACATATTTAAAAAAAGAAAAACACACGCAGACTGAAAGTAAAGGGATAGAAAAACATATTACATGCAAATGAAAACAAACAACAAAAAAGCTAGGGTAGCAATACTTACGTCAGACCAAATAGGCCATGGCACTGCCTTTCTGTGTACTCTCAGGCTGTTGTTTGCATCCTTGTCTTCAATCTGCCCCCTGACCCTCCCCATGACCACTGCCTGAGGTGCCATTTCTGTGCCTCTCCTGGCAATGCTTATCCACTTGCTGCTCCCCAAGACTGCCAAGATGTCCTCTGCCATTCTGGCCTGCTGGCCCTCACTTCACTTCTCAGGCCTCCCTTGGGTTCTACTCTTCCAGAGGGTCCCACAGCATAACTACTTGAAAGCTGGTTGCTTTACATGCATTTTCTATCAAACAAATGAAATTCCCTGTTATCATGATCTGAACTATGACTCAGGACACCTACTGTCACTGAGTGGGAGAAAAATGCAAATCAGGTGGATGCATTCTGATGGAAGTTAGTCAGGCATTGGTGCCCAGGGAGGGCATACCTAGATCAGAAGGCAAGATGACAAGCCTGGGGAGAGAGCAGGGTGCAAAAAAGAGGCATGAACAGGAAAAACCCTGATGAACTTCTCCAACTTCAGAATTTAGCTTTAAGGTGAGACTTGGACCAAAAAATGAGACAAGAAGAGATGGACTGCCTGCAGAGGTCAAGCAAGACTTCAGGAGTCTTTGGTACAAGGACTCTTGGTCATTCACCCTCCCCACCCTGAATCATTGTTTTCCACTTCAGGCCTGTTGCCAACTTGAGTTCAAGTCCCCAAACTGATGACTAAAGACATTAGTTTTGAGATAAGAAGATAAGGAAGGAGCTAGGTGGGAAAGCAGGTGAGATCATCAGTGCCACCAGGGTAAAGACAGGGACCCTGATGACAGAAGCAGAGGGCTGAGTACTATGTGGATCCTTGGTAGCCTCTGAGATCATCCCCAGGGCAGAGTCCAGAAGATGGGGAGGGGCACCAATAGCTTTATTTGCTTCCAGAGTTGGCACTTCAGCCTAGCTGATCTTTGGTATAATATTAACTGCCATTTCAGCAATGTTGGATGCCAGGGACAGAAAGAACAAGGTATAAATGAGACAGGTATGACTTCTAGTTATGTATTTGGCTCAATAGACATTTATGTAGCATTGACTCCTATGGCAAATACATTCTGAGAGCTTCACAGACATTAATCCACTTAATCCTCATCCTACCCCTAAGGAAGTTAGTGCTATTATTATCCCATTTCATAGGGCAAGGAAACTGTGGGCTCACAGAAGTGAAGTGACTGGTGTAGTACCATGCAGCTAGTGAGTGGGAGTTAGGATTGAAACCCCTGACAGTTTGGCTTATAGGCTCACTGATGAAGGCAGGGCTGTTTGTCCTAGACCAGTGATGGCGAACCTTTTGAGCTCGGCGTGTCAGCATTTTGTAAAGCCCTAACTTAACTGTGGTGCCATGTCACATATAGAATTTTTTTGATATTTACAACCATAGTAAAACAAAGACTTATATTTTTGATATTTATTTTATATATTTAAATGCCATTTAACAAAGAAAAATCAACCAAAAAAAATGAGTTCGCATGTCACCTCTGACACGTGTGCCATAGGTTCGCCATCACTGTCCTAGACAGCTGTCTTCAGGGTTGTCTCACCCTGCCCTTTGCCACAACACTCCCTCCCCTCCTGCATGATTCCATCAAATTGCCCTGATTGCCCTTCAGGATAGCTATTATGATGCACGTGGGAGGGAAGGGCCTTTGAAGGGGTGTTCCCCAACCTTCTGGTCTCTGAGAATAACTTTATTCTCAGTCCTGGAATGGGGGAGGCTAGGGGGTAGAGAAAAGATAGTAAGCGTGTCAGCAGGACCAGACCACACAGGGTTCTCGAAGTCCTTGTCCCCAGTCAATCCTCTGAGGTTGAGGGCTCTGCCTCAGCTTTTGTTCCTAGAGGTAGAGTTCACTGAATCTTCTCACTCATTTATTTTTTTTTCATAGGTGAAGGGAGAGGGAGAGAGAGAAACATCAATGATGAGAGAGAATCATTGATTGGCTGCCTCCTGCACACTCCCTACTGGGGATCGAGCCCACAACCCTGGCATATGTCTTTGACCGGAATCGAACCTGGGACCTTTCAGTCCGCAGGTCAATGTTCTATTCACTGAGCAAACCTGGCTAGCTAGGGCCTTCTCACTTATTTAGACTCCCCTCCTTCAGAGTCCCAGGAAGATCCCCTTTCCCTCTTCAAGATGGTCTATTTTATTTTATTTGGATGGATTCTCTTAAAGCTGCCTTAAACGTATGCATGTAAGCAGAGTATAAATACATTAAAAATAAAAGTGGGGCCCTCCAGGCTAGGTGAGCACCTGCTCATTGGGTCTGTTTGTCTCTCAGAAGTATTCCTTTCCATGCCTGGCTGACGTGGTTCAGTGGTTGAACGTCAACCCATGAACCAGAAGGTCACAGGTCAACTCCCGGGTTGCAGTATCGATCCCCAGTAGGGGACATGCAGAAGCAGCCGATCAATGATTCTCATCATTGCTGTTTCTATCTCTCTCTTCCTCTCCATTCCTCTTTGAAATCAATAAAAATATATATATATATATTTTTTTAAAAGACGTATTCCTTCCGGGCTAAGGGTTCTAGAGGACATTTACTCGGAGCTGCTTTGGCACTGGTGCAGCAAGCTCTCAACTAATGCAGTGGCTGTGGAGACAAAGCTGGCCTCAGTTTCATCACTTCCATCATAGGGAGTCATGCTGGTTAGGATAACCAAAGTCGTGTTCCAGAAGCTATAGCAGAAACTCCATGTCCAGTTAACCAAATTTGTCTTCTGGAAACCCCCAAATTCCCTTCTCTCAGTCTTCTTTCCCCTTCAGTGGCATCCCCTAATCCAGTGGTTCCCAACCTTTATATGGCCATGCCCCACCTAAGCATCTCTAAAATCCTGATGCCCCCCCCCACACACCATGACATATAATTCTTATTATTCAAAAAGTGAACTCCTATCCAGGTGGTAGAAGCCTAAAAGACCACTAACTTGGTCTAAACAAGCTTCCAAAGAACGTGGCATCCAGGAAAGAGAAAAATAAAAGAACGAAAGGGCAGTTGAAGTATTGAGGAAGAAATCACTAAAAAATTGCTTTAAAAAAATAATATGAAGTGATATGAAAAAATAGAAAATAAAGTTTCAAAACATATAATAGAGAACTGAAATGCATAAATATGTCACAATATATATACTTATATGCTATGAAGCCCCTAGAACCATAAGAAATGCAAAAAAATTCACTGTTAATAACTCATTCTCGAATAGCTCCCCTTAAAAATCAAATTGCCCCCCAGCCCCGGAGTGTGTGCCCCACATTGGGAACCACTGCCCTAATTCCTCCAAACAGGCCTTTGGGCCTTTCCCTTCTCAGGTGTGAATGGTATTAACAGTCCCAAGAGAAGGGCAGTCTTACCCTCTGCCAGTGAGTGGCAGCACTTTTGCAAAGCGGGCTCTCTTGAGGGGACTCGCTGCAGCTCACAAAAGTAACTGTCCAGCTATAAACAACTTCCCTGAGGGGTGCAGTGGGGCTTCCCAGGTTCTAGGGAGAGAGATCACTGGCTTTTTCTGACACAGGCCACCTTAAAAAAGGAGGAAGGATAAACACCCATCTGGAAGCAAAAGTGGGATTGTAGCCAGAGCCTGGGGTGGGAAGCTAATGGGAAACAGCTTGCCGGAGGGAGGGGGACAGAATTCAGGAATGGCCAGAGGCTGGCTGCTGTAGATAAAGGGGGCTGGGAGAAGCAGGTTGATTGAGACTAGCTGCTGCTCCTCTGTCTCGATCTTTGGACTCTGCCCCGGGCCGGCTCACACCTTATTCCAGGAGACTCATAGCAAGCAGAGGCTTCTCTGCCCACCTGAGTCCTGGATCCTTCATAAACAACAGACCAGAAGGGGATTCTTCATCAACCAGCTGGACACCTCCATATCACCAGCCCCTGCCCTCTGGCTGCTCCTGCCCGGGGAAAGGCCTGGAGGAAGAGGCCAGGAAAGGAAGAGACCTGTCCCTCTCCTCTGTCCCTCCATTGACCCAGCACCAGCATCTGGAGACTCCATGGCCTGGGCTTCCTGGGGCTGCTGCCCCTGGCTTGTCCTCCTCTCTGGTATGTGCATCCCGATCTCTCCATCTCCTCCCACGCCAGGGCGGGCAGGTCCAGCTGGAGAGCAGCTCTGGCCTCCCCTTCTGAGTTCAGAAATGGTTGGAGTGAGGGATGGGCCCGGTTGTCTCTTTTTCTCTTGGTCCCCCTCTGTCTTGAGGAAGAACACGAGGGTCAGTCCTTGAGACCCTCAAGACTCAGGTCTAGTCTGGTTTGACACCTTTCCATTCCCACCTGTTAAAGGAGAAAAAATGATTCTGGCACTTTTTTTTTAAAGTAAGGAAGAGCCCTGGCCTGTGTGGCTCACTTGGTTGTGGAGTGTCATCCTATACACCAGAAGGTTGTGGGTTTGATTCTCGGTCAAGGCATATGCCCAAATTGTGCGTTCTATCCTTGGTCGGGGCACATGTGGGAGGTGACCAATCAATGTTCTATCTATCTATGTATCTATCTACCTATCTATCTAATCTCCCTTCCCCTCTCAATTAAAAACAAAAGTAAGGAAGATTTTATTCAAGACTATTGCAATAGGGACACTGCAATAGAGGAGAAAGATCAGGCTTAACTCTGAATACAACAAAGATGGCCAATGATCAGAGAAAGGAGGTCAGTGGATGGGAAATTCCTAAGAGGAGAGAGACATCGAGGGTAGGGAGATTCTTTTTAAAAAAAAAACAAAACTATTTTCATTGATTTCAGAGAGGAAGGGAGAAGAAGAGAGAGATAGAAACATCAATGATGAGCAAGAATCATTGATCAGCTGCCTTCTGCATGCTCCACACTGGGGATCGAGCCCGCAACATGAGCATGTGCCCTGACCAGGAATTGAACTGTGACCTCTTGGTTCATAGGTCAATGCTCAACCACTGAGCCATGCTGGCTAGGCAAGGGTAGGGAGATTCGTGCTAAATCGACTTAATAGGATACTTGTGGAAGGCAGGCCATGTTGATCAGATACCAAGGGTGGGAGTGAGGAATTTGATCAGATATCAAGAGGTAATTAGATATTAAGGGTGAGGGAGTCTCTCTAAACTCACATAGGAATATTCTTTCTAAGACTGGGAGATTCAAGACCATCAAGGACAGGATGGGCATGGCAGGCCAAAGTCAAAGCCTAATTGTGAAGAGGGCTTGGAGAAGCATAACTAAAGCTTGGTCTTTGTCACCCTTTATTTGTCCTCTTTGGTCACAACGAACTGCCCATCTCAGCATCATCCATACCCACTCCACTTCCAGCTTTAGAGAGGCCTTCCTTCCCTTTGCTCTCTGTCAATAGGACTTTGCTCATTCATTCAGTGCCCAGTTCCTGAGTACCTCTCCAGAGCCAGGACCACAAAATGATTTGGCTGCAGAGCCTACCCTTGGAAGCCATAGCCTGGGCCTCAGAGAACAGGACATAGGTTGGCTGAGTCTTGCTTTTTATGTTGGCATCTTAGCACCACCATTTTGTCAGAGATCTGCTCCTGCAGAAATGAGGATTCGTTTTCTTAAATCAATAAGATTTAATCTCCCTCTTGAGTTTATAAGACCAAGACAACAAGGCAGAGCATTCATGATGTTAAACCCCAGTCACCTTCCTTCTATCTATAGCTCAACCCACTCAGAAAGTAAAAGTACAGTGGGAACATCCATACTCAGGCCCTCATTATCCTCGGGAGATCTTTCTCAAAAGGCGAGGTGCTATCCCAGCCAGTGTGGCTCTGTGGTTGAGCGTCGACCTATGAACCAGAAGGTCATGGTTCCATTCCCAGTCAGGGCACATGCCCAGGTTGTGGGCTCAATCTCCAGTAGGGAGCATGCAGGAGGCAGCCGATCAGTGATTCTCTCTCATCATTGGTGTTTCTATCTCTCTCCCTCTCCTTTCCCCTCTGAAATCAATGAAAATATTTTTTAAAAGATGAGGTGCTATAGGGACAGACTATCGGAGACCACTGGACTTTTAGGACCCAGAGCCTGTAGAATTTAGCCCAGCGCCTGGCATACAGTAGGCACTTAGGAAATGTTTACTCTGAATACTTGGCAATCCTACTTGGATCACACTAAATTTGGGGGACAGCCCAAGTTGGAAACTAAGTCTCCGTGCACTCTGTCCCTTCTGTGGCACTATTCTTCCATGGTTGGATTTTTGTACTTCAATGGCCCAGATTCAAACCACTGACCTACCCCTGACTTATTGTGGCAAAACTTGGGCAAGTTACTAAACCGAACTGGGCCTCAGCTTCCTCCTCTATAGCAAGTAAAGAGTAATACTCACCTCACAGAATTGCTACAGGTATCAAATGATATGCTATAAATAAATTGTTGACTTCAGTGTCTGGCACAAAGTAGGAGCTCTTTCATGCTAGCCCACTTTTTCCCACCAGGTGATGATGTCAGACTGAGTGAAATTGCCTGTCTTACCTACTTCAAACTAGCTTGGAATGATAGGCAGAGATTTGGATTATATGAAATGATACAAGTGGGCCTTGAGTTTAAGTAAACCCAATGTATATGAAATTAGATTTATAGAAGGGTAAAATGAAGGTAGCGTGATTATTTAGTGAGATCCTTTAGAGCATTTCAAAGAAAATTTGATTACAAAAATTTAATTTACACACAACTTTTCCAGTTCAGTAGACCCTGAAGAGACCCAATTAGATTAGAAGGAAAAATTTGATTTCATGAGCACTAAAACCTTTCTCAAAGTGGCAATCACTTGTCAATGGATCAGGTTTCTTTTATTGTGACTCAGGTTGCCAACCAATTCATTCTGATTTCTTAGAAATGTGATTATTTTTATCCTCAAAGAGAGTTGGACAGCATCGTGTGTTTTCAAATGATAGAGGGTTGCAGGGACACGAAGGAGGGTTGGGAAAACATGTCCCTGTGCTCTCTCGAAATTATCTGATCACCAAGTGACCCTGGATTTTTCTCTTGTTTTCTAGTTTGTGCCTGGGGCCATGCAAATCCAGTGGACCTGAGAAGAGAGAACGTGAGAAACTGTTCAACGAGCCCTCATGTGAGGCCCTGGCTTAGCCCACCCAACAGGTCCCATAGTCCTCCCCATCCCACACTGGCTCTGTTGCTAGCCTCTCCCTCTACCAGACTGTCTTCTGATTTCTGGACTTTGGAGCCACTGTTTCTGATTAACATCCCTCGGGAAGGGCAGCACATTGTCAGGTGTCTGATATTCACCCCTCGTCCTTCCCTCCCACCCATTCCTAAAGGCTTGGACCTGAACAACCTTACCAGAGGGAGGGATAAGGGGAAAGAAAGTGGATAGGAGACCTGCAGCTAACCTTTGATTGAGTCTACGCAGAGGCCAAGAGGAAGCTGGGAGGACAGAAAACAAGAATTCTAGAGGAACAGCAAAAGGGAAGGCAAACAAGGGAGGAAGGAAGAAGACAGAAAGTTAGAAGAGACAATGGAAGAGCAAGAGAGGGGGGCCTAGGTTGTGAAGACTTAGAGAAGGCCCAATAGATTAGAGCAGAAAAATCATCAGCTTCTTGGCTGGACACCAAAGTGATTCTTTCCAAAACCAAAATAGGTAAAGGCACTTCCCCAGGCAGGGGTAGGCGGAAAAGTGAGAGCTGGTGGGCCTGCCAGTATCCGCTAAGTCTGAGGAGTATATCTGCTTGCATTGTCAACTTTATGAGACCACTGGCGCTGACAGGTGGGTGGGCCAGCCACATTACTTTTCCTTAAAAGCAAACATGGATATATTGTGAAGTAGAATGCAAAACAAACCAAAATAAACAAATAAAAAACCCACACTTTATTTTGAAGATAAAGCAGACTTTAAAAACTGCCTTGACTTGGAGGGGATCTTTCTGGACAATGTCCCAAACTCCTGGGGTTACTCATTCACTCTCCTTTGCCATTTGAAACTAGTGAATGGAAACCTGAAAAAGTCCCTGAGGTAGGGTTGCCAGATGAAATACAGAATGCCAAGTTATATTTGAATTTAAGATAATGCATAATATTTTACATAAGTATGCCCTAAATAGTGCAAGGGACATACTTACACTAAAACATTATTTGTTTATCTGCAATTCAAACGTGACTGAATTGGCATCCTGTATATGTATTTGTTAAATTGGTAGTGCTACCTCTAAGATATCCAAAGAGAGACTGTCCCCTGCAACTTCACCCACAATCCTAGACTAAGGTCCCATTATTGTCACAAAGGGTCCCTCTGCAAGCTCTTCAACACCTCCCTCTCTGCTCAGCCCATGCACCTTAATCTAGACTAACCCATAACATCAGTTGCTGCCTCATCCCTCTCCAGGCCAGCCCAGCCTACCAGCCCCAAAACCCTGCCTAAGAAGATGATGGGGGCCCAGGCATCATTTTCTCTAAACAATATGTGTCTCTGTGTGTGTCTTGGTGTCTTTCTGTCCCATGACAGTACCTTCCAGTTACTGTGGTCAATACTACGATGCAGCTCACAGCCCTTCGCCAGCAGCTGCAAACCCAGAACCTCTCTGCCTACATCATCCCAAACACGGATGCCCACATGGTAAGGGATGGCCCCCACCCCCCATCCATGCCCTTTCTGCTACACCAGGTCAGCTTATGAGAACAGGCCACAAACAGGAGATTGTTATGACTCAGAAGATGTAGGCAGAGGAGGGATTTGACAGGCAAAGGAAGAAAATGGGGAGCTTGGACATGGGAGTTTAAAGAGCTGAAAGAATGCAATCCTTTACATACGAGAGAAGACACTGCCAAATCTTGACCTCAGGCAATGAAACTATAAATAACTTCAGAATGGATTTTGATCACTTCCTAGATGACAGATCCACAATGAATGTTTAGGAGGATAGGATGTAGTCTTGGAATAGGACTGGAAGAATGCTAAGCTCCCTTCCTGCTCAGCCCTTTTCATAACTTAATGGATGGAGCACTGAAATCATCCAGAGCCCCGGACGACACAAGTTTGGGGTGTATGTAGGCTAGGGGAGGGGGAGCAGACAGGAAACAATATAGTCTAAAGAACTGCTTTTCCCAAAGAAGAGCCCTGCCCACCCTTTCCCACTACTGTTTCCCCGCTTCACCCCACCCACCTTTCCAGCACAAACCCATTTGGAAGAGGAGGAATTTTAGTGTCAATAAGATTACTTGAATTAGTTTGCCTACCTGCTGGGAAAGACTAAGAACCTTGGCTAAGTGTCTGAACCTCTGAGCCTTAGTTTCCTCTTCTGCAAGATAGGAATAATGAACTCTGTGTCTGAGGATTACGAGGATCAAAATACTTATAATGTATAAAGCCCTCTGCAGAAATGATTTATGATGGACTCAGTGTACTATGCTAGACTGGGGAATAGGGTGACAGCTGGAGGGAAGAACCCAGAAGAACCAAAAGACATGATCCCAGACTGCACAAAACTTGCATTCTGTCCAGGGATCTAAGACTCCTTTGTAGAACATTCTAGTATTAGATTGTGAGGCTTAGACTCTAAGAGATATAGTTGTTCAAGGGAAGAGATCCTAAGAGCTAGGGGGAATTCCAGAGTGCTTCCTGGAAGAGGTGCCCAGTAGCCTGGCTTTTAGGACTGGATCAATCTGACCAAAAAGAACTGGGATGTGGTTGGGAGCCTTTCGTGTGAGGTCTGACTTCATGAGGAAGGCTAACGATAATGTTGATTTCCTAGAGTGAGTACATTGGCGAACATGACAAGAGGCTTACATGGATGACAGGCTTTACAGGGTCTTCAGGTAACAACTATTACCCTGCCCTCATTGCTTCTATTGGTCGTCTCAGAGGTGGTCACAGGTACCCTGGTGTGGCTAGCTCTCTGCACCCAAGACCCCAGGACCTAGTATCCAGAAGCTCCTTACTACTCTGCCTCCACTCCACCACTCCAAAAAGGGTCACCAGGGCAGATGTCCCATCAGGTTCCCCAAGGCACACATCTCATAGTCCACCAGCCACACTTCTGCATGAGGCAGAGAGCCCTCCTGGCTTCCTTCCAGTGCTCATTGCCTCTGCCACAGCCAGGCCTAGCCTAGCACTACCTGAGCTCCTTTTCTGGGACAGTCCCTACTCCTATGTCTAGACACTAGGAACCTGCTGATTCCCTTGGGTCACTTGGGAACAAAATATTGCTTTGCTGGTCCTTTTAGGGAAAACATCACTTCACATGGCCAAATGAGGCACAAATGTAGAGGCCTTATATGAGGTCCCAGTTTTTGAAGGGGCCTCTCACCCTGATCCTGGCCCCTTGAATGAAATCCAAGCTTCTCTTGCTGATTATTGCATATGAACTAATAAAACCACATCCTTCACTTTCACCCTCACCTCCAAGTTTCTTTGTTCTGCCCCAGGAACTGCAGTGGTGACCATGGGGAAAGCAGGTCTCTGGACTGACAGCCGCTACTGGACCCAGGCTGAGCAAGAGATGGACTGCAATTGGGAGCTCCATAAGGAAGGTAAAGGGGCTGCATGGATTTGTTCCCTAAGTCCTGGAACCCAGGCTACGGTAAGTTCGAGGATGTACTAGGTGAGGGGGTACATTCAAGGCCAAGTTTGGTCCCTGTAGAAAGCTGGGGAAATTTGAGGCCATTCTTAAACTTTGAGGCTGCTATCAAGGAGGACACACATGGCAGCACTATCACGGGAAGAAGCCTGGTTAGAGGGTCTGGGGCTGGCCCTGCAGGTGACCTCTGTTCCTTCCTGTCTTCCTCTAAGTTGGCAGT